CCTGCTGCGGCACGGGCCAGCCTGGGCGTGCGAGGGCCGCGGGAAAGCCCCGAGCAGTGCCCCCCAGCGGGCCCCAGCGCCGTGGGACGGGGAGCTGCCGCCACGCCAGGCTCCAGGGTCGGGAGAGGGAGTGCTGCCGCAGAGCTAGCTGTGTGCCGGGAGCGCTGAGCGCCCATGCCCCAGCAGGGCTGCGTCCGACCCTGGCTGTCACGCAGGACAGACCCCGCAGAGGGCATCTGAGCGCCAGCCATGGCCAAAGCAGATGACACCATGGAGATACCGACGCTGGGACGCCCCTTCCAGCTGGGGATGCTGTACGACTGCCGCAAGGAGATCCTCATCCCGGGTAGGGCTGCTGCTCGGCACCCTGGGGCTGAGGGGGAAGGATGTGGCCCAAAGCCAGGCCAGGCTGTGGCAATGCCAGCTCTAGGCTTGTGCTCTGGGGCTGCCCTGCATGCAGCATGGGGATGGGTCTGGGGAGCCAAGCTGGTTCCCTGGCTGTGCTAGCCAAGATGGGAAGGGACAGGGTTGCTCAAAGTGTGAAAGACAGCATCCAGGGAGGACACCTTCCTTAAAAAAAAAAAAAAAAAAAAGTGCCCTGAACAGTCCTCTATACCCTTCTTTAAAATTCTGATTTGTGTATTCTTGTTCCAAACGTCTTGTAACCTCATGGGCTAACATATCAGTTATCTGGAAGTATATCAGGCTCCAAAAGTCATTACTCAGACGTCTATTAAATTTCATATGAGCATATCACTGTATTTCCAGTCACTTACAAAAATATCTATCTGAGCACAGTGAACAGACGCAGCAGTATGCGCAGCAGCAAGAAGGCACCTTCATTTCTCCTAGTAGTGTGTGCTTCCTCAGGTACGGTCATGACACACTGCAGAGCACAGTCCCCAGTATCTGTTGGAGTTGCTGCATCAGCTGTGTCTGAAGCTTCAACCCAGACAGACCCTCAGACAGCAGATGCAGCTCTTCAGGTGTCAGGCTGCAGGGAGTGCCTGGGGCCTCTCCGTGAGGCCTGGGTTGACAGTCAGCTCTCCTGCATGAGGTGTGCTGTGGTTGACCAGTTGTATCGTCAGGTCAAGGAGTTATGGGAGGAAGTCAGTAGGCTGCGTAGCATCCGAGAAGACGAGCAAGAGATAGACAGGGTATTCTCGGAGACTGTGCAGCTCCAGGATTCGCAACCCCCGACAGCAGTGGAGGGCTCTGTACCATGTGAAACAGTACATGGTAACACTGTTGAAGAAGGCTGGAAACTGGTCACGTCTCATAGAAAGAGAAAGGCTCTTGCTCCTCCTGAAATCTTGCCTTTGAGGAACAAGTTTAGCACCTTCCAAGCTGAGGAGGAGCTGGGCACGGCTTCAAGGGAAGCTACTGGCCTGACAGACCCCATGCCATGCAAGAACACCCGGAAAAAGCATCGAGTGATTGTTGTGGGTGGCTCCCTGCTGCAGGGGACAGAGGCACCTATCTGCTGACCTGACCTCTTGTCCAGAGAGGTTTGCTGCCTGCCAGGGGCTCAAAGAAGAGATGTCATGGAAAGACTGCCAAGGCTTGGCCATGCATCGGACTACTACCCTCTGCTGCTCTTCCATGTGGGCTCTAATGACACCAAGGGCAAATTGGTGCCATCACACAGATTTCAGAGCTCTGGGGATGGTGGTCAAGGGTCTGGGAGCCCAGGTCATTTTCTCCTCAATCCTACCTGTGAGGGGAAAGATGGGAGGAGGAGTAAACGGATTTTCCAAGTTAACAACTGGCTGCACCACTGGTGTTGGCAGCAGGGCTTTGGTTTCTATGACCATGGGACCCTGTTTGAAGATCAACAGATGATGGGGAGAGATGGGATCCACCTCACCAAGCGGGGCACGCGTGTCTTTGCCAACAGGTTGGCCAGCCTGGTAAAGAGGGCTTTAAACTAGGAAAGAGGGGGGAAGGGGAGTGTTATAGAGACAGGGTAGTCAGTTAAACACTGCTCAAGTCAGGATGCCTCCAGCGGGTGCATGCAGCCAGGGGAGACAGCATGGAACATGGCTATAGAGGATCCTCTTGCACCTCTCCTGAGAAGCCTGCATGCCCCATTTGGCTCTCTGAAATGCCTGTACACCAATGCACGCACCATGGGGAATAAGCAGGAAGAATTAGCGAACTGTGTGCGGTCGCAGGGCCATGATCTTGTTGCAGTTCCGGAGACATGGTGGGATAGCTCACATGACTGGAATGCTGTAATGGATGGCTATGTGCTTTTTAGGGAAGTCAGGCCAGGAAGGCGAGGTGGTGGAGCTGCTCTTTTATTTCAACACTGTCTCCCATCACATCCTCACAGGCAAGCTCAGGAAGTGCAGGCTGGATGAGCGGACAGTGAGGTGGATTGAGAACTGGCTGGATGGCCGAGCTCAGAGGGTTGTGGTCAGTGCAACAGAGTCTAGTTGGAGGCCTGTAGCTAGAGGTGTCCCCCAGGGGTCACCACTGGGTCCAGTCTTGTTCAATGTATTCCTCAATGACCTGGAGGAAGGCACAGAGTGCACCCTCAGCAAGTTGGCTGATGATACTAAGCTGGGAGGAGTGGCTGACACACCAGAGGGGCTGTGCTGCCATTCAGAGGGACCTGGACAGGCTGGAGAGCTGGGCGGAGAGAAACCTCATGAAGTTTTCAACCAAGGCAAGTGCAAGGTCCTGCACCTAGGCAGGAATAACCCCATGCAGCAGTACAGGCTGGGGGTTGACCTGCTGGAAAGCAGCTCTGCAGAGAAGGACCTGGGTGTCCTGATGGAAGGCCAATGGGATCCTGGGGTGCATGAGGCAGAGTGTTGCCAGCAGGTGGAGGGAGGTGATCCTGCCCCTCTCCTCAGCCCTGGTGAGGCCACATCTGGAGTACTGGTTCCAGTTCTGGGCTCCCCAGTCCAAGAGAGGCATGACACTACTGGAGAGGGTGACTGAGCACTGGCACAGGTTGCCCAGAGAGGTTGTGGCGTCTCCTTCCCTGGAGATAGTCAAAACCCCCCTGGACGTGATCCTGTGCAATGTGCTCTAGAGGACCCTGCTTGAGCAGGGGGGTTGGACAGGATGATCTCCAGAGGTCCCTTCCAACCTAAACGATTCTGTGATTCTGTGATCCTGTGAATGTGCCCCTTACCAGAACAGTTCAATTGGGCATTTACTGACTAATCAAACATGAGTAAGAAACAGTACCAGGTTAGGTATTTTGCCCAAGACCATTCAGTTTGATGTACCAGTTAAAACTTGTTGGTCTGTTATATTCCAGGCATTTCTTTATGGGATCTGGACACAGTCCAGAAGAATGTAGATGTAAAGCCACAGCACAAGTCAGAGTTTAAGATCATTGCATCTGATTCCATGGAGGACAAGACCTCTGCCCTCGGTATCAAGGCATCCTTGCAAGTCAGTTTTCTCTCTGGCATGGCTGATGTGAGCGGCTCTGCAGAATATTTAAGGGATACCAAGAGGTCCAAACACCAGGCCCGGGTCACCCTCCAGTACTCAGCCACAACACAGTTCAAGCAGCTGACAATGAACCAACTGGGGCGACAAAACATCTCTTACCCTGATGTGTTTGACCAAGGCACAGCCACCCACGTGGTCACAGCTGTGCTGTACGGGGCACAAGCTTTCTTTGTGTTTGATCGGGAAGTTTCTGAAAATGAAGACTTTCAAGACATACAGGGGAGGCTGGAGCTCACTATTAGTAAAATATCACAGACCAAAATAGAAGGGGAAGCATCAGGCAAAATGGATGAAAAGGACAAATCGTTCACTGAAAAGTTCAGCTGCCGGTTTCATGGTGACTTTGCTCTTGAGAGTAACCCAGTTACGTACCAAGATGCCATGCAAGTTTATGCCACCCTCCCCAAGATGCTGGGAGCGAATGGGGAGAAGGCTGTGCCCATGAGAGTCTGGCTGTACCCCCTGACAAAGCTGGACGCCAAAGCAGCGTGCCTGGTCCGCGAGATCAGCTTAGCACTGGTCTTTGATGCCCAAACTGCCTTAGAGCAACTGGCAGAGCTGGACATGCAGTGCAACGACCTGCAGAGGAACCCAGTGGCCAGCAGCTTCCCCCAAATCAAGAACAAACTGCAGCAGTTCAAAGATCTCTGCAAGCAGCACCGACAGGCTTTCCAAAAGGAGCTGGCAGGGGTCTTACCATCCATCCGCGGAGGGGAAGAAGAGGAAGAAGCCCTGGTGGATGTTTTAACTTGCTATAAACAGTCACCCTTCAACACCCAACAGCTCAAGGAGTTCCTGGATAAAAAGGAGCGGGAAATGACTTTTGTGAAAGCCCATCTTTCTCTCCTCAAGGATCTGGCAGTTGTGTCCTCCCAGAACGAGCTGGATGAAATTGTACTTGACCCGATGAATCGCTTTGTAATTTCCTTTACTTTCACAGCCTTACATGAAGAGGAGCCATATCTGTCCAGTCTGAAGCTTTGGCTTCAGACCAGATTCACCAGCAACACTCAGGATTTGGCATCAGTCGCTTCTGAGAGCGAGAAAACAAAAACAAAAATGTGGTTTGAGGACAGACTGAGAAACCAAAGTGCCCGCAAAGCGGCAAAAATCCTTTCAGAGTTTGTCCAGGCCAACAAAGCTAATGAGAAGATTCGATTTGTCGTGTCCTCCATCTCAGACAAGGCCAATCCAGGAGCATCAATTTACTTGTACGAGGATGGAGAGCTGGTCAACACCAACTTTGAGCCTCCTGCAATACCTCATCCTCCCACGGCAGGCAGGATTAAACATGACAGCGTACAACTCACGTTCAAACCATCTGACTATGGAAAGGCTGCAATAACCCACTACCGGGTGGAGTACAGATTAGTTGGGCAGGAGAGCTGGATGGGCCTGGAAACAGCAGACACACAGGGGACATTCACTGTGACAGGATTGCATGCCAACTCGGAGTACCAGTTCCGGTATGCTGCAGTGAGCAAGCCAGGGTTCAGCGCGAACAGCAACAGCAGTAACGCTGTGAAGACACTTCCCACCAGTCCCCCTAGGCAGCCTCTCCCCACTATCACAGACTCATCTGCAATAACGCTCTCCTGGGAGACACCAGCTGTTGTTGGACAAGGTGCCCGCATAAGAGAGTACCGGGTGGAGTACAGAGAGGTAGGAGATCTGAGTCACCGGGGAGAGGGAAAATGGAAAGAGCAACTGACAGGCAAGAAAGTAGAGAGCTGTAAGGTTGGGGGCCTGAAGCCTCAGACTCTCTACAGCTTCCGCGTGTCAGCTCTGTGTGCAGACATGGCTGGCAGTGACCCCAGCAAAGAGGCATCCATTATGACAGCAGAGGCAGTATCTCAGATGTTCCTCAATAACAGCTGTCTAGTAGAAAAAGGGCAGCCTACAGTTTACACCCTGCCCCTAGAGAAGGTAGAAAACAGTTTTGAATTCCCTCATTTGAAATACATGCTGGGAGCAGAGAACCTACAGGCCCCCAAAAAGGTCATCATGGTGATGGGAGCCACAGGCTCTGGGAAGACCACCCTCATCAACGGGATGATCAACTACATCCTGGGAGTGCAATGGGAAGACAGCTTCAGGTTCAAACTGATCCACGAAACCACAAACAGAAGCCAAGCAGAGAGTCAGACATCAGAAGTGATAGCCTACGAAGTGAATTTCAGAACAGGTTTCAAAGTCCCCTACAACCTGACCATAATAGACACCCCAGGATTTGGCGATACCAGGGGAATAGAGCAGGACAAACTGATAACAGAACAGATCCGGGATTCCTTCTCCACCCCAGGGGGCACCGACCAAATAGACATCATCTGCGTTGTTGTTCAAGCTTCACTTGCCCGCTTGACGCACGCCCAGAAATACGTATTTGACTCAGTGCTCTCCATCTTTGGGAAGGATGTAAAAAACAACATCCAAGTCCTGGTCACCTTTGCAGATGGGCAGACCCCGCCTGTGCTAGAAGCCATTAAAACTGCTGAGGTGCCCTGTGCCAAAGATGCCAAGGGGAACCCTGTGCATTTCAAATTCAATAATTCCTCCCTGTTTGCCCACAACGCTGGAGCAGATGACAGCAGCTCTGACTTTGATGCAATGTTCTGGAAAATGGGAGCCATCAGCATGCAGAAATTCTTTCAGTTTCTAAGCACTGTGGAAAGCAGAAGTCTAACGCTGACGAAGGAAGTCCTCCAAGAGCGGAAGGAACTCGAGGTGGCTGTAGAAGGGCTACAGCCACAAATCAAAGCTGCACTGACAAAGCTAGAGGAGCTGAAGAAAACACAAGAAACTCTGGAGCACCACAAAGATGAGATGGAGGCAAATAAGAACTTTGAATATGAGGTACAGAAAATAGTGCCTGTGCAGAAAGACATTTCTAAGACTGGGCAATACATAACAAATTGCCAAAATTGTCACTACACTTGTCACTATCCTTGCAAGATCTCAAACGATATCAACAAGCATTCCTGTGCAGCAATAGAAAAGATCTCAGGCTGCTGTACCGTGTGTCCTAGGAAGTGTTGCTGGAACAATCACTTCAATCAGAAGTATAAGTTTGAGTATGAAGTTGTAAAAGAGAAACAGACCTATGCACAGCTGAAGGAGAAGTATGAGAAGGCACACGGCAAGGTGTTATCTGCCAAGAATCTGGTTGAGAAGCTGCAAGAGGAATATAAAGAAGTGAGAGAGAGACTGCTAGGCCTCATTACTAGATCTTCAGAGAGTCTCCAGCGCCTGCAAGAAATTGCCCTGAAGCCCAACCCGCTCTCCACTCCGGAATACATTGATATGCTGATCAAGTCAGAAGAGCACGAGCTGAAGCCTGGGTACATGGAACGAATACAGTCTCTCAAGGATGTGAGGCAGGCAGCTGAAATCATACAGAAGATTGCAAATAAAGAAGAACTGTTGCCTGGAGAGAAGGCTATGTATGAGAGCATGCAAACTCAACAATCTTCTCCGGAAAAACAAGCAGAAAAAAACACATCCAAAGGTTCAAAACTCAAGCTACTCAGGAGGATGACGTAACCAATGATTCTAAACAAAGTGCACAGTTTAATCCCAGTTTGGGTCTCTCATAAAAGTTTTCTTTAAGACTTGAGGAGCCCACTTCTAACTCGCAGCTCTATTCCACTGGCCTCAGTTGCTAAAGTGATGGTCTAATGGGCTTAATGTAATCAGCTGTATTTATAACTGATCAAGCTTCATATGAAAATGCAAGGAATTACAACTGTTAACAGCTCTGCTGGACAGCCTTTCTATGATGATGAGTGTACTAAAACACAGTATGCCATTCTTTGATCATCCGCTGCTTGTTCACGCTTAATGATCTCATATGGCAATAGTCACCCAGATGAATAAAAGCATATTGATGAGTGTCAAGCATCTGTGCCAATTCTTTCCACATCTCCAGCTAAGGAAGGGTCCTGTCCCTCCCAGCACAGCCCTGAGGAGTCCCGCATCACGAGGGACTCCTCTGATCCCAAGACTTGTCTCTGGCTCAAATCCAGAGGCTCTGGCTGGTCCTTCACAGTGGCCAAATCCACCCAACTCCTGAGAAATGGGGAGGGCTGCACCTCATGCCCAACTTGCCATCAGCACGGGGGTGCAGCACATTGGCAGGTCTGCGTGACAGTTGCAGCACGATGGGATAGAGGAACTGACGCAGACATTCGGGCACCGAGTCGTTCACAGCACGTAGGCAGTGCAGCTTTGGCATACTGTTCCAGGAGAGGTGTGAACAGGAAAAACCTTTAAGTGGAAGCTGGGAACAGAGGCAAACAAACGAGCACAGCTCTAACCATCAATTAGGAAAAGCTGGAGTGGAAGAACAGAGGCCTCCAGCAGGAAGACAGAGGGAGAGGAAAACGCACCCTGCCACCTCACGCTCACGCACCCCTCGGCCCCTGCTCCTCACCTCATGCGGGGACCCCCAGGGCCGCAGCTACAGGGGCTTCTGGCTCCCCTCTGCT